GGAGTAAAGTATTGTCCTTCAAGAAAATGCCAGCATCCGCTTCATGGTCGCCGTAAGGGTAAAGTGTCCAGAGGGGTGAACTTGAAAATGTCGAAAGAGATAAAGGAAACGTGGGACGTTTTGGTTCCCGTAGGCTCAGGTAAGCGTGATCACTGAAGGTAAATACGGTACTTATACATGCTTTGGCTTCTTGATGATTAAGCCTCATGTAAGGGAATCAAGACAGGGTTCCAATCACTGTATTCCAGTATTTGTCAGGGGACTTGGGTTCTTTTTCAATCATTAGTGGGATTCCGGATTCCACTAGCAAAATTTTCTAGGATTCCGGAATTCGGATTCCCTTACATGGGGCAAATGATTGACTAATACACAAGTTTAGTCAATTGTTTTTATTAATATATACACAAGTGGCAAGGATTTTTTTTTTCTTTTTTTTTGGCGGGGGTGGGGGAAGGATGGAAGATCTTGTAAGAAATTAATTATGAGTTATAGGGTATGATATTTATTTCGCAAAAAAATAACAAACAAATAAGCAATTGTGTGGTGAATTTTGATCTACAAGAGTAGTTTTAATCTATTTTTAAATTTACCAGGTCACTTTGCCCTTCCGTTGTTTTCCTTTTTGTACCTTAGCTAGTTACGTTCTAACGGTAGCCCATAGTTATAGGTTCCTGCTTCTAATCGGTCATTTTTCTCTAGGAGGGGCGGGGGGATAGGGCAATTCTCTCAAAAGCTACAGTGATAATACAGAGCCCGGTGTCAATTAAGAATGAGTGTTCTAGAACGGGGCGTGAAAATAAGCGCCTCACTGAAAAATTATCAGATTTTTGTTTAAAATCCGCACTGGAATTGCCGCTAATTATACATGCCACATTTACTGATGGCCTACACTGGCCTACCAAATCGCGCGGACTTCTAGTATTTTCTACAGCACTAATCACTAATACTTCCAACAGGGGCCCTCTTTTGACTAGGAATGGCGGCACAAACCCATTTAGAATCTAGCTTGGTAAAATCCCTCCCTCTAGGAAATATTAGAATGCCTAAATGGATGCAGGCCAGCCGTTTATTGCTTGGGAAAAGTTCCAAACAGTTTGTTCTATTCAGCCTCTTACCACAAACTAACAAACCATAATGCTACCAAAACTCATTTTAGGTTTATTCTTGTACGCAGGGGTTTGTAGACAATGCCGTGGTGACCATCTAAGAACTGTAGGTTCTACTGACGCGGATTCCGAAGTACAAGATCCCGGACTGGCGTCCACGTCTCACCCAGAGCCTCAGATTCACGAACCTTCATGTTCTACGGAGTCCGCAGAGGAAATAGTAGAGCCACCACAGTTACTACCGCCTGCTACAGAAGAATCAGAACAATTGTCTGCTACCCCTGTCCTTCACGTAAGATTCCAAGAAGATCTCATTAGTGAGGTAAGTTCTTCTTCGGCAGTGTGTGAATGAGTTTACTGATTTCAAAGGGGCGGGACGTTTGCGTCACTTACTTTGTAATTGTTGTCATAATCCACTGATCTTTAGAACAAATCAGGAAAGGAGGGAGAGGGGTCGTTGTTGCTTGATGCATTGGGCGTAATGTTGGTTCTCACACTAATTTGCATAGACTTTGAATAAAATCGGAATAATTCGTTAAAATTGGTTGTTATACTGAGAGTCACTATATGGTTGAGTCATAAAATTTTCTCCTTTCAAAGAATGCCTGTCTTCGAGTATGCTTTGCGGTCGTGGTTTCGAATGTTGCTCACTCTTATTTATCGAACTTCCTTTGAAGCATAAAGCGCGAAATTTAATAAAATATAATCATCAATAACTCGTAACAATTACTATTCAAAGCTCATTCTACTCCTGTTATTAATCTTAGAGAGGCTTGAGTAGATTCATATAGCGTTCATAAACAAAGCCACAACCGGCGCAAAGCATACCGGCCAATAGGAATTCTTTAATGTAAAACTTGTGCATGCTGACTATACGGTAATGATGCCAAACTGATGGAATAATTAGATATTTCCTAGATACAGCTTTTTTCTCTTCCAGCATAGCGATCGCGACTCAGACCCCAGCGATCGCCATTCAGACGCTTTGTCGCGGACGTCTTCTGGATCCCAGGAGTCTCTTGGCGCAGCAGAGAAATCGGCAGAATGGCAGCCCACCCCTCAAATACAGCACCGCCTTTATTACCTTAATAATTTCCTCAGAATGGCTACTGAAGGCAGGGTCAGCCCGGTGAGGTCACAGTGCCAATGTGACGTTCTTACTATGTCATCCAGAACCCAGCGCTACTACCGGAAAAAAGCTGAGCAGGCTATCGAAGGCGTGCTTGAATCCATTGCCCCTGGCAACGCCTCCTGGCTCTACCACCAAGTCATGCATCGGCGGATTCGTTTAAAAGCGGCCGAGGGTATAGTCGAAGACACGCTGGTTGCCAGACTGGTGATTCTGTATGAGGAAGCCGCCAATTGGTACACGAGACAACAGATCCTGTCGCTTTTCGTGAACGACTACTCGAAGAGCGAGCTATTGGCTTTGATTCCGGGTCTCTCAAAATGGAGAATCGACGAGGCAAGGAAGCACGCTTTCCAAACTAAGTCCGGGCAACCCATTGACCCACCAAGGATCACCAGATGCCGTTTGGATGCTGTGAAAGTTGACCACTTTCTTGACTTCTTGTCCAGTCCATCAGTTCTTCAAGATGTGGCATATGGCACCAGAACTCTTAAACTGGAGAGTGGAGAGAGCTTAGAGATCCCGAACATGGTGCGCACACTTATATCCTCCCACCTAGTGCGCATGTACCTAAACTTTTGTGTAGAGTCCAATTTTGAGCCTCTCGGACGCTCCACGCTCTTCAATATAATCAAGGTACGGATTATAAAACGTTCGTAAAGGACGAATTTTGATCAGGGTTAATTGTAGTTGTAGTAGTGGTGTAGTAGTAGTAATGGTTTGCATTTAGAAATTAGTTTGAAACCAAAGCATTTTGTTTCTCTTCAGGTTTGTGGGGCTTCACTAAAGAAATCGTTAGCCGGTCTTGATAGCACTCAGACAGATGGGGTACAGGCGCTCGCCACTCTTGAAGACATCACTCATCAACTCAAACAAGCCGGTGAGATACAAGCACCTTCCATTATTACTGTAGGTGCACGAGTCGTCACAACTTTTAATAAGCTGACGGAGTATCAATATTTATTATTGTGTGTATTTTTTCTATCACAGGACTGGATAGCACAATGGCCGATAACATTCTAGTGCGACTCAAAGCAGGTCGGCAGTATCTGAAGACGGATTTCAAGATCCACACAGCCAGCGAATCCCCGTGCGCAGATCACTGCAGAGTGTTCGCCCTCAGTAGGACAGAGAAAGAGTACAACGGTCAGTGCCAACATCAGCATACCATAACCTGTGACCGGTGCGAAGACCTAAAGAATGTTGTCTCAGATCTGCAACTAGCGTTGGATTCAGGTGAAGTACATCTAAGGTAAGAACATCTTTGTGACAGAAAAGCAGAGTTTAGCATTTATTATCAACTAACAACCTAATCCCCAGGGCGCTTTATATGAGTTTCAGTTAGAAATGTTAAATTGCTTTGTGTGGTTCTAAACCTAAAGAACATATATGTTTTAAATGAAACGCAGTTTACGAAAAAAGTGAGAGAGTCATCATTATTTTTTGATAAAACGGCTCCAAAGAAAATTTCTGACGCTATCGCGCCGTGATGTTGACAAGCTCTACTCTTTCCCTTTTTAGTCCTGATAAGCGAGAGGAGTTACAGCATGATTTGAGCTGCGCTGCGCCGAGCATAGAAGATTGGAAGTCGCACGTTCTCCGTTCAGTTCACCAGGATGCGGCCAAGAGCGAAATTGTTGATAGCCTGAAACCATCACAGATTCTGCTAATAATAGACTGGGCGATGAAGTTTATTCCCACCAGCTTTCGCGAAACGCAGCGCGACTGGTTTGGAAAGAAGGGGAAGTCCTGGCATCTCTCAGTGGCCATCACTAAAGCAGAAGATGGAACAATTGAGGGAGAAATCATGTGCCTACTCTTCTGTCTTTATCACTCACTGACCACTATAAACTAGTTTCTCGTGAGCGCGGTCTTTGTTGCGCTAAACGATTGCAAAATTGGATAACTGATAAGAATGCCAGGCCGAGAAAGGACGGGAAAGCTTAAATTCCTAATAGTAAATTTCAACATTTCATTGCTTTCGACACTTATATAAAGATAAAACGTTGGCGACGCACGTAAGCGCGCGCAAAAGCGCATGGGACGGAGTACATTTTTAATCCAAATAAAAGGCCATAAACATTCTCGAAAAAAGCAGACCTTCCCGGGTGTTATGTCTGTTTCAAGTCAAAATGCGCAGGTTAATATTCCATTAGCCCTTGACTGTGACCAGGTCCCTTGGCGCACTATTCATGGTAAAAAATGCTTTACTATTATGATTTTCAGACACGTACATATATCCACTTATTTGATGAATGCAATCAAAACTGGTTCAGCGTTGCCTCCATCATCGAAGATTCACTAACCACCATGAAGCGACAGAAACCTAGACTGAATGAAGCTTTCCTAAGATCTGACAACGCAGGCTGTTATCACTGCGCATTTCTTCTTCTCAGTCTTCCAAGCCTTGGACAGCGGGTTGGTGTCCTCATAGCTCGTTTTGACTTCAGTGAGGCCCAAGCTGGGAAAGACATATGTGACCGCCGAGCCGCCGCCTTGAAGAGCCACATTAGGCGCTACATTAATGAAGGCAATGACGTCAAGACAGCAAGTGACATGAAAGCTGCTATTGACTCGCATGGGGGCGTCAAAGGCTGCTACTCAGTGGTGTGCAAGGTTGACGAAAGGTCCCAAAACATGACCAAGCACTCGCTGAGTGGCATACAGTCTTTGAACAACTTCGTGTTCACTGAAAGTGGAGAGATGATCGCTTGGCGGGCGTACAATGTCGGACCCGGAAAGGTCTTTTCCGCGGCGTCGCTAGCGCATCCGCCTCAGTTTCCCATAGCCAGTCGGAAGACCCGCTGCCAACAGCTGACATGGGCTGGGCATTAAAAAAGACCAAGAAGTCTGTTCATTTCACGACTAAAGTGCGCCAATTTTTGCGTGAAGTCTTCCTTCAAGGAGAGGACACCGGGAATAAAGCAGCGGCTGAGGATGTAGCAGCACGAATGAGGTCCGTGCGAACCGCTGAGGGAACGAAGGTATTTACGAAAGACGAGTGGCTGACATCTACCCGGATCTCCGGATATTTCAGAAGAATAGCCGCATTAAACAGGAGTGGGGGTCTTCATAGAAGAGAGGAGGTGAGGCCAGCGTCAACAGAACCGGTACCCGAGGGAGGAGAAAGCGAAGATGAGGAGGAAGACCCATATGAGGCTGAAGCTCCCCTTATCAGAACACGGCTTCAAATCAGGAGGGAGCTAGAACTGTAACTTTACTTGCGATGAGAGTGTTTGTCTGTTTGATTATATCTATTTTGACTTTTGTCTTTGATAGTTCTTACAAAGGACAGTTCTTTAGGGCACAAGTCACAAAAACACGCAGTTGATTTTGTTTTCAGTATAGCAAGGGCTTTCTGATAAAGTTTTCTGCTTCAAGATGCAATGTGGCGTGCAAGTTTCAAGCAAATGTATTATTCCTTTATTAGATGAACGAAAGTCAGTTTCATTATACGATCATTTTAACCTTCAAATACAGACAATGTAAGCATTTTGATAGAGTTCTGTGACTCTCGTGTGTCACTTAGCGATGAGTAAGTTCCGTCACGAAGTTCACTTATACAATAATAGAGGTCATCATTAAGCCGTCGATTGTCATTTTCATGGCTTAAGACAAACAAAAGCTTTTGAAATGGTTCAATTTCATTAAATTTTATAGTGTGTAACCATTTTGCTGCATTTTCTACCTGTTGCTATGTCTTTATTACCACATTAGCGAGTTATGATGAAAAAAAAAATGAAGTGGGTATCCTGTGGCGGGCTAAGTTTTTTTTTATTTTAGCTATTAGGTAGAAATGGTTCTATTTCATCAAAGTGTATGGTGTGCAACCATTTTGTGGCATTATTTGTCTGTTGCAGTGCCATAATTACCGAAGTAGCGCGTTATAATGGAAAAAATTGACGCGGGTACCCTGTGGTGGACGACGTGTTTGCAGTCTTCCTGTGGAATAATTAAACGAGTGCCCAAAGATTTTTTTGCAGATATTGTTAGTATGAAGTCCTGCCTTCTAGACGGTGTGTTCCGTTTTTGGAAGCATGCTCCGGCATTGGAGATATTTTGGCCTAAACTTTGGATATTTCAACAGTTTTCACTATTGGGTGAGAGTGGGGGTCTTGGCTGAGATGACTTGTGTCATAGGAACTTGTCGTAGAAGAACGAAACAGTTACAATAAATTGTCTTTGGGTAGGATAACATTCACTAAAAATATGAAAAGGTTTGGTGGAATTCTTTTAGCAGTAGAGCTTTATACTTTTGACCATTTTTTAGGTGTTTTTTGGTCATTTTTTTTAAAAAAACAAGGGGGGGTGGTCAACTCTCCCCAGTTTCGACCAAATTTCCTTAAACTTAGAGGGAGGTAGTTTTGGGCGGACCCCTTCAAACTGGCCAAGTTTCATTGAAATCGGTTAGATGGCTTGTGCCGCCCCTGCCTGGTCCTTTCGTGGATGCACTCTTAAGAGTTAGGCCATTAAAAAGTTATGAAAGGAATGGATAATTTTCAAGGTCTGTGAATTTTTTTTCCATTGACATTGCCAGCATTTCTTCAGTTGTATGAAGTCTGGATCACCTTTTATCAACCTACTCCCAGGTCAAGGTTAAGAGAGAAACTGAATAGCATGCTATGTGATACCGGTGTTACAAAATTCTTTGTGTCAAATATGGATGGTGCACAACATAGAGATTACAGTGCACATAAAAAACATATTTCTACCTTACTAGAAAAAGGCCATCCAAAGATGAAAGTTTAATTATAAGTTAATGAACTCACAGAATCGAAATGGGGCTAAATAAATTTGTATTATTATAATCCAGGCCCAGTTGTTCGAAGGCCGATTAGCTCATAACCCAGAGTTAAATTTAACTCAGGCTTCTTTTTCTTTTGTCCAAATTAACATAGCCCAAGGTTACATTTAACCCAGGCTTGTTTTTCTTTTGCTCAAATTAAGCATTTTCTCGGATAATTTTCTCTGTTAATTTTACGAGCATCCAATCATCAACTTGTTGACAAAAAGCATTAAAGTGAATTATTATAATTTACTTTTTAAGCTTTCGTATCTGAATTCAAATTTTGCACTAACCCTGGGTTATCTTAACGCAGCTTCAGTTGAATAACTCCGCCCTGGATCATTATGATGATGCAGAAAGGAGTTAATTTGCATTCTATATAATTTAAGAGTTTAATATCAGTCCACTAGAATACTCATCACAAAACATCTGGTGATATTGAAAGATCCTATATATATAAAAAATATTTACAAGAAAAACATTTACCAGCTTTAAAAAACAATGCTTTTTGTGTTGATTGACAGGTGTGATTTTTTCACTTTTTGGTCTAAATAAAATATGTAACCTTTTTCGCTTTTGTTCACGTAGGTGAATAGCCATAATCAGCAACATTGGCAAGTATGAGGCACATCGCAACTGCACCTTATAGCCAGATATTTTGACTTAATTTCCCAGTCCATGGACTACTAATACGGTCTACCCTAAAATGGACTAGCCCGCTGAAGTTTAGTGATTAGGGTTAGGAAACTGAGTGAATCTGATTCCATTTTTTAAAAGGGGCTATATCTTGGGAAAACTGACCTAAAACTTGATTCACCCATCATCATTCACCCATCATTGTCATGCGTTTTATACATGAGCCTCTGGCCTCGGACAATCGGGGCAACCCCATCCCACGTATTGACGTTAATAAATTGATTGATTGATTGATTGATTCACCCAGTTTTCTAACCCTAACCACTAAACTTCAGCAGCAGTAGTCTATGTGGGTAGTCCATGGGGGTTGTCCATGGACTGGGGGTGAGTATTTCATCCACCACCGAAATTGCAGGGACAGCAGTGCAAAGGTAAGGAAAACTGGAATTTACAACAATCAAATACCGACAAGGACATTAATGGCTTTGTTCTGAAGGCACTGGTTTTAAATTCAGACGGTTGGGACATATATACCCCCTACCTCCCAAAAGGGACTTATAAATAGGTGTCTGTTTAAGGGAGGTGTCATTTTGGAGGCTGATAACATAAGAAGAGCTGATTCAATTTGATGAGGAGGATCCCTGCTAAACTGGCTGGAAATTTCCTATGTAATCATGGCTTGCCCAGCCAGCCAAATACCATATTTTTTCCATTATAATTAAAGCATAGTGTTTTTTCAATGAAAGTTTGCTTTTTAACTATAAATCTGTTGTAATTTTGGGGTGCATCTTATAACCGAGTATCTTCATGCAACAAAACAAACCTGACTCAATTTTTTTTACTTGAAAAGCTTTAGCTGCTCATCTTCCTCTTTGTTATCCTTCACGTCAATAACTTCTGCATCTTTTAAAGCTGGTAACGGCCCCAACAAATCATTTTTTGTCCAAAACAAATCATCACATCGATCATTTTGAACTTAATGTTGATGTTTGGTAACCAGGTGAACTTTTTAGCAAGTGCTTGACCCAAGATATTATGGTGGTTTGTGCAGCTACAGTGCAATCTAGTACTCGTTATGAACCTTTATTTTCCTAAGAAAGCTTCAATCTGTTAATAACACTGTGAGAGCTGTTTCCAAACATAAACAAGGACTTCATATTTTTCCAGATTTTGCAGTTAATTAACAAAAAAAATTCACACACATATTACGTGATCGATTTTATCTTGATACTACCGCGATGCTGTAAAGATGTCAGTATGCTGCAGCCAAGACTGCTGACTTGTTAACAAATCTAAAAACGGATCACTGATTATTAAAGTATTCACAGTCTTAGAAAACAATGCCTTTTGTTTTGATAGGAGTGATTTTTTCACTTTTGATCAAATATGTAACTGTTCTGCTTTCGTTTACAAAGGTGAATGACTCTAATAATGCAGATTTCAATGTTTGGATGGAGAGGAGGTTATCGCATTAGGTGCAGCATTTGAATTTTTTGCATTTTTTTTGGTGCAATTCCAGACCCTTGGAACTGGAAAATAGTTCAAATTATCTGATAAAATATCCCTATTTAAGGATAAAAAACCACGTGATGACATGTATTAAAAGAAAACATGGAGCAATAATGAGCGAAGTTAGAAAGCGTGTTGTTTAATGTTGTATAGCTAAGGTGAACATCGCCAAAAATCATGGTTGGGCCCTATGGGTGGGTATTTTAGCTTAATTTTCAGTTTGCTAACTTGAGAAAACCGTGTTGGAAAGTTTGGGTCGCCTCTTATAACTGAGTGCACTGATTATAACTGGAAAAAAAGCGGTATCAGTGAGTTCACACCCTAGCGAATCAGCCCCTGCAAGTTCGCCCCTACTTTCTGAGTTTGGCCCAATATAGTGGAGCTGAAGTAAAAGGGGTAACAAAAACGTGCAACTTTTGTAACCTGCTATCAGCAGGGCTTCTGATATTTTTTGCGCGGTCGTGGAGCCGCAAAAGTCAGGTAAATCCGCAAATTCCGCGAAATTCACAAAAACACACAAACTGCCGCGAAATTTGCTAGAAATCATATCGAATATATGCTTATCTTGGCTACTGGCGCTATCGCGCCATATTTTATCGATTGTTTCTCAGCGAAGTTTGCCTCGAAAATTCCCGCGAAAATCCCGCAAAATCGGCCGATTTTACCGTGAATTTGTCCCTGAAAATCCCGCAAAAGTCCAGATTCTGGACTATGGGAAGACAACGCGCAAAGTAAATATATCAGGCATCCTTTTCCCCTCGTCTTCCAAACAAAAGGGGAAGAACACCTGATCGCCGGTCACTCATTTTGCAACATTGCTGCAAAACAAGTTGAATAGTGATGATGTTGCGGATTTTACCACCCACGAATCAAATCAGGTTTCATGTAACAGACCGGCTTCATG